TTTGTTTGTTTTTTGAGTCTTTGACAAAGCAGACAACAATATACACTGGGGAAAAGAATCCCTATTCATTCAATAAATGGTGCTGTGAAAATTGGATAGCCACATGTAATTTTTCTGTTTTTGGTAGAGACAGCGTCTCGCTGTTGCTCACGCTGGTCTCAAACTCCTGATCTCAAGCGATCGTCCTGCCTCAGCCTCCCAGAGTGCTAGGATTACAGGCGTGAGCCACCGCACATGGCCAAGTTTTTTTTTTTTTTAAGTATATTAAGATAGCAATATTAAATAGAATGCTTATCAACCATCCCCTTAGCATGATGCCTACTTTGAGAGCTAACAGAGTTGCACCGGTTTTTAGGTACAGGGAACTTACAGAATACTTAGGAAACTCGGGCTAGATGAAGCCTAAACCATGAAAATGTACTTTCACCTCAGCTTGGTAAACTCAGGGGACAGTTGTGAAAAGAGGGCCTTTTGGATCAGTGAGTTAAGCGTAAAGAATTAAGGACCACAGTTCTCATCCAGCTGCTTCACTGATGTTTAGCATGAACCCAGAAAGTCCTTTGAGGCTTCTGTATTCCATGGAGTAATAAAGAAATGAATGGTGGCTTTCTCAATAAAAATAGATGTAAGATATCTAGGAACAGCATATAAAAAGCATTCCTATTTTTTTAAATCTATTTTGAGAAATTTTTAAAAACATAGAAAAGTATAGTTATATAATAGTCCAAGATTCTGTTACTCACAATTGACTGTTAACACTGCCATAATTACTTTGATATTTTTTCTTAATAAATGAAATGAGACAATACAGAAGAGTTTTCATCTTTGTATCCCATTTCCAGTGCTACTATCATGAATTTACTTCGTATCTCTTTTTATATTTTTTGTTATGTTATATGTATGATGAACAGTATATGATTTTGTTTTGTGTGTTTTAAATTTAAGGAATGAACTATATTTTCATCTTGCTCAAAGCATTCTTTAAAATATGAAATACTATTTCTGAGGACCACATAATTTTTTAAAAAAAACGACTCAAGTGAATTAACCAGAACAACTAGCACGTGCAGACAGCAGATAAATAGGCCTTTGCACACTGTTTCTTGCACCTCCCTCAGAGCAACGACAACAGAAACTCATTACAATCCACAGATCAATGCTTTGGAAATCGGAAACCACATTGTTTCAATAATGTGGGCAAAATACATCAAATCTCATTAAAATAAGTTTACACTATAAATTGGCCTGGGCTTTGTGGAAAGTGGTTTGGCAATATGTATCGAAAGCCTTAAAAATATTCACTCCATTTAATCCAGTATTTCCATCTCTAGCACTAGCTCCTGGGGCAGTCTTAAATCTTTGTTGAAACGCCAACAAAGATTTACGTAAAAAGATGTTCATTTTTTACATTTATAATAAGAAAAAGAAAACAACAAACCACACATTCAATTAACAGGAAATAAGGTAAATTATGGGATTATACAATGGAATTTAATAAATCCATACTCAATTTTATACATACAGGATGCTCTTGTAAAACAATACAGAGGAAAGAAAATGTTAACATGGTTATCTCTGGGTGGTGGGTATATTGTTTTTTTCCCATATTTTATAAGTTTTCTATAATGAAGATGTATTACTTTTATAATCAGTAAAAAAAGATGTATATATATGCATGCTTTTACATATCAATTTTGTACACACACACACACACACACACACACACACACGATTCATTAATTACTTCAATGTTTATAACGTAATAAGCAGACAGGCAAACCAGGAATCTCAGAGTCAAAATAAAACCAAAATCACTTAGATAATGTTTCCCTTAAACAACCACATAAAAATAAATTAGCATATATTTCTTTATTCCTGCCAAGCATCACATATCTACATATTTTCTTCTCTATCCAGTAAGCAAATTTCATATTTAGTTATCACTGTGATTTTCTTTTGTGAACATATATAGAGAAAGATTGAAAATGTTCTATGTTTTGATTAGAAAAATCAAGCTGTCAGGTGAGAAGTCCACATGTCATCAGATCATCTGCAGCTCACACTTGGCACCTGAGATCTACATATTTATTTTACTGACCTGGCCATATACAGATAACAGCACATGGCAAAATTGCAAAGACAGCCCTGCTCACAGGCCATTGCATTATCTGCAAAAATCTGTTTTCAGCAGCAGACTATCCATAAATTTGACCCCCTTGCTCTTTTTTTTTTTTAACTAGGTCAAGTAGCTGTCCCTGTAGCACCATCAGTATATTTAATAAAAATCAAGTATATCTTGTGTTTGAAACATACATTATAAATAGATGTATAGATGGAGCAGATATTGAGAAAAGAAATGGTAAAGATTATGAATATTAAGATTTATATTAATCTATAAGCCTATTAAAGTACAGTAAAACCTGTCCTTCAGACCACCTTTTTAAAGATATCACCTCCCTGATGGGACCACTAAATTTCGGGCCAAATTATTTTCCCATAAAGAACAATGAAAAGAAAATGATTATATTAAGACTACTTCTACTATGGTTTCTTTTCATTGTTCCGCCAAAAATGATTCCAAACAGTAAAATAACATTGATTTTGACCTTGTTAATGAACCTGAAGAACTTCATGGAATACTCAAACACCGATTTCCATTTTTAACAGGGAAAAAAATGGACCCTCCGCCTCGCATTTTCGAAAACACCAGCAGCAGGTAGGGGATAATTTCATTGGTATTCCGCAGATGTAGCTTATCTTGATATCGCTAATGTTCCGTAAGGTTTGTCATGTGGATTTTTCTTTGTGCCCAAAGCTGGAGATGATTGTGTGATTTGTAAAATATTGAAGACGCCTTCAAACCGAGAGGTTTATTACATTTCTTTTTGGTTACAAAGATTGTCACATGCAGTATTACTGAAGTGATTTTCAGTTTTCCAAAATGCCACTCTCTCCAAGGGAACAACTTTCTCTCCTTTGGCCTTGCGAGGACTCCCCGTGGCTTTGACCGGCTTTTCTTCCAAACAAAACTGCCGAGTGATCCACGCCGCCCGCACCCCCTCGAGTGGGCGCTGCTTCTCCTAATCAGTCTCTTCTGCAGCTCGCTCATGTCAGTCCGAAACACCAGAGGCCCTACCCTCCTCGTGTGGTACTTCCAAGGCATATTTCCTAATAGTTTGAGTCTCTCGAGTTGTTTCCCTTTGCGACTTCCCAAGGATAC